ACCATATCTTGATCTGTAACAAAGATAATACATGAGATAGGAAAGTATATATTATAAAGATCACCATATCTTGATCTGTAACAAAGATAATACATGAGATAGGAAAGTATATATTATAAAGATCACCATATCTAGATCTGTAACAAAGATAATACATCAGATAGGAAAGTATATATTATATATATCACCATATCTTGATCTGTAACAAAGATAATACATGAGATAGTAAAGTATATATTATATATATCACTATATCTAGATCTGTAACAAAGATAATACATAAGATAGAAAGTATATATTATATATATCACCATATTTAGATCTGTTAACAGATAATACATGAAATAGAAAGTATATATTATATATATCACCATATCTAGATCTGTCAACAGATAATACAAGAAATAGGAAAGTATATATTATATATATCACCATATCTTGATCTGTCAACAGATAATACATGAGATAGTAAAGTATATATTATATATATCACCATATCTTGATCTGTAACAAAGATAATACAGTAGAACGTTGATTATCCTGAATGTTCGGTTATCCGAACCTACTGTGTGTCCCCCAAAGTTTGTATGCAGGTCTGGGCTGTGTTCCGTATAATACAAAAGTCAACTGTGAACAATAAATACTACAGTCGTCTTGTGTGATTTCCTGGTGCAACACTTTCAAGCTGTTATCAACATGTAATCCGACGTCTTTCACGTGTACGTTCATTGTTTACAGTGTCTGCGCAAACAATGAAACGAATTACAGTATCCAATAATTTCCTAAATTCAGACAAGCCTATTACGCCACACCAGTGTTCCACTGTAAATAAAAAAAGTCCTAAAAACACAAGCTTCATCAAATGTCTTCTCCACTGTTTACAGTCAGATCCTTAACTTTACCAAGTTGTAAGTCACCGCAGTTCAGATACGTTTCCCGGGAAAATTGTACGGGGTTCCACTGCCGTCAAAGAAACGCGGCCATGAGCCGATCCCATGTTTTTTTCCGATTTTTAATTTTAATGTCCAGTATCAGAAGTCACATCCTTTTCGGAATAAAAAAAGAAAGAAAATAACTTCTGGGATGTCTTGCCACAGAAGCGACGCTAGTTTAATAGTGTAGTGAACAAGCAGCCTCTCGGCTGAGATAGCTCCGCTGTTAGCAATGCACATTTCAATTAAAGAACAGAAAAAATCATTAGAAAATGAACAATATGCATAATATCAATGCAATGGGAGTTACTGTTTTCAACAAGAATTCAAAAATATCATTTTTCACCATAAATGATTGTGGTTTTTAACAAGAAGAAAATATCACTTTTTACCAAAAATATTCACCAAAATAAGAAAATTAAAGATATCATCATGAAATGAACAAGTTTGAGAATGGTCCACATGTAGTACCTATATATGTAATATCAAAGCAATTGGACATGCGGTTTTTAACAAGAAGTCGAAAATATCACTTTTTACCAAAAATGACAAAAACATTCACCAAAATTAGAGAATTAAAGATATCATTACAAAATGAACAAATCTGAGAGAGGTCTACATGTAGTACCTATATATGAAATATTAAAGCAATTGGACTTGCGGTTTTTAACAAGAAGTTGAAAATATCACTTTTTACAAAAAATGACAAAAATATTCACCAAAATTAGAGAATTGAAGATATCATTACAAAATGAACAAATCTGAGAGAGATCCACATGTAGTACCTATACATGTAATATCAAAGCAATTGGACTTGCGTTTTTTAACAAGAAGTCGAAAATATCACTTTTTACCAAAAATGACAAAAATATTCACCAAAATTAGAGAATTGAAGATATGATCATGAAATGAACAAATCTGAGAGAGGTCTACCCAAGGTACATATACACCAAATATCAAAGCATTCAGGCTTGTAGTTTTCAAGAAGTGTTTACGTCCGATGATCACAGTAGCCAACCTGGATTTTTACAACAATTTATTATGTCAATCGTTCTAGGTGTTAAAAACTTTGCTGAATCCAATAAAATCGGGACATCTTGTAGCAGTTTACCATTCAAAAATCCCCGAGCAATCTGGTAACATTGAGCCGATCTATGCATAGCGAATACGAAGCAACCTTTCACATGTTTACTTTATCGGCGTCTTTTATCTAGCGTTGACATGGCTACCCCCAGTGAAATGCAAACGCGGTGTGCTTGATTTGGATGCGAAAGTGTCAATTATAAATCGACTAGAACGTGGCGAAACCGCAA